AGCTAGATGATGCATGAATGCTAAATGTGAGCTCATACGTAATAAAAACATATCAAGCAACCTATTGCTGCAATTTACACCAAAAGGAGATTAGGATCAAACACCCAGAGTGAACTAGGTAGCACTGTAAAACAAGTCTCAAGTGAATCTTGTTTAATTGTGAAATACAATAATCCTTTCAAAGTGTAGAGGCCGGAGATCAGAAATACATGGGTCTAGTTATTATTTATTTATTTGTACATGGGGCAACCTGGTGGTCTAGAGTTTGACCATGAACCGAAACAGCCTGTTCTCAATCCCAACTCGTAAATATGGCAGCATTGTTAATGGTTCACATGTCAAATTATAATTTATGAACCGGAACTATGTCACCATCGATGGATGTGTCAAACAAACACAGAGCTTTCCCCCAGGAGCGCAGTGTGTGTCCTGTGTGAAACAAAATGTCAGTGTTGACTCTTTTAAAAGGTATAACGTTACTCCTACTTGTTTTTATTCTGGAAAGAAAGTGTATCCATGTAACGAGCGGAAATTGATGCTGGAGGGCTACCTAGAGCATCATAGTTTGACGTGTATGGTCATTGATCATGCTGCCGTATATTTTACTGCTCCTATACAGTGGTGATTCCCTTTCACTGTGACAGCCTGTTGCTATCACCTGAGAGTCATACAACTCCCCTTTCCCATCACAACAGTTGATGACAGAGCCCCAGCTGCAGCCATGAGGGGATGCTCAGTATCAGTCACAGTAGTGATGACAGCTTTAGGAAGGTAACAAGAAAATTGCTTTTATTTAACTTTGAAAAATAGACTGACTATAATGTTTTTTTCAGTAGTTTCAGTACCTGAAGGAGCAAAATGTCAACATTTAAATGTGTCCAATACTTTGGTTTTTCTGTATAACTGTTAAATTATTGGCATTCCCATCAGCCTCAGCTGTACTTTGCGTTTTGTGCTAATTCAAGATTTTGGCATGCTTACACACTAAATCTAGATTGTAAACATTGTAAAAATTATATCTGCTAAACATCTACATGTTAGCATTGTCACAGTAAGAATGATAGCATGGAGATGTTAGCATTTAGGGCAAAGTGCCACTGTTCCCAAGTAGAGCCTCACAGAGCAGTTCGCATGGGCGTAGACTATAGTCTTGTTTTGGCGTTACCTTCAATTGAAGCAACAATCTAAATATACGAACAGTTCAAACTGAATTGCTTTGAGAAAAAGGGACGTGATGCATGCTTTATTAGAGGAAAAACATCTAGACACAGAAAGAGATGTGGTCAGAAAGTTAATATTCAATTTTATACAATTACAGGTAGTCATCTCTGTTCATTTATAGCCTAATTTAATTATAAGTAAGATATTTCAATGCACTGCAAATCAAATGTAGAGGACTCTGCGGATCATTGGGCCTCATGCAGTGACATTCTATTAAATGTCTCTTATATTTTGTCTTAATTGTCTGTCAAAAGAGAAAATAATAATTCAACCCCAGATGCACCAAACATTCTAAACAATCTTACCCAGGTGTGCTGAATGATGAGTCCCAGTTGATCATAAATTGGAGACTATGCTTGTTGAATATTAGCATAGTTAATGCCCCCTAAACACTATAAGTACAGGTGTTGTGCCGTGTGCAAATACAAGCATTGAAGAGATACCACCAAAAAAAAGTCTATAAGAGAAGGAAGAATTTCAGCAAAAGTTAAATTGAGGTACTGTTCGATAAACTTTCATAAAGTCAATATGTGATTTTCTAGAACATCAGTACTGGTGTTACAGGAAAATTAAAAACATCGAAGAGCAGCATAAGCCATTCAGAAGCTGAACACACGTGATATCATCAAAGGGTTTTTTAATAGTACCAATAGTATTTGTTTTGCCCACGATCCAATCGATATTATTATTCTGAAACAAGAAATAATGAGAACAAAATGTGAATCACCGTGAATCACAGAAATTATTTATTTATTTACAAAATAAGAACCAATCGTTGAACACAAATAACAGAAAATGTGTTCATATTTTGCGTCTTGCATGAGGCCCAATGTCACATGGTGCATGGATAGCAGCCGTACAGGTTATTGTGACCGACCTGATGTTTTCATGGCTAGAGCTATGCAGTGCAACTAGGATGCAGCTGAAATGAGGAAGAATATCTCATCAACGTGTGTGGCGTCGCTCACCTCTTTTGCTTCTCCTTCCAAGCAGTTTAGACTCCACCATGGAGCTCTGACAGTTGTGATGGAGAGGACAGTCCAGAGTGGATCGAAGCTTCTCCCAAGAGAAAAGCAACGTCCTCGTGCAAGAGGACCATAATTACCATGACTGGACACCATCTATAATGGGATTATATTTGGAGGATAACATTTTATGATAAATTATGTTGTTGGGGTCATCGGGCAATTGTTGACCTGGGCAGGACATAGATCAGGCATTATGTGAGAACCAGACATTTGCAGACAATTACAGAAGAGAAGAGAACATGTGTTGACCAGCCAGTTTTTGATATTAGAGAATAAAACCACTGTTACAAACCACAATGTGGTGAATAAGTTATCAAACAGATGCAAATGTATTGTTTTTAAACTTAAGGGGTAATAAAGGTGATAAATCCTGTGACCTGATCATTATATAAAAATGTGTGGGTTACTTTAGGGGCCATGAATTCCCAGAAACGTTCATGGACATTCAACTGTTAGAGTTGTCACAGACCAACGGGTTTTAAGGGGTAATTCTGACTTGAAAATCCTGACATGTCATAGCAGCCCAAGAGTTGTTTGTGTTGGACAGACAGATGGAAAAATGAACTAACTGACTGCATATCTGCCTTTTTTTTTACCTTCATTTAATCACAATACTAATACATAGCATTGCTTCTTCTTCTTTTTCCAGTGAGCCTTAGTCAAGATGGCAACCTACAAAAGGCTCATACAAGAGGTACACTAGGTACTCCGGCATTAGCATGCATGAAAAGAGTAGCCTGCAGTGCAATAGTTACGAGAATTGTGAGAGAGGAAGAAAATAGTCACGTATCAAAGATGTAAATTGCATGATTTTCTGCGCTTTGTGAGTTTGACGTAGTGAATGATGGCCTCAGTGCATCACAAAGAAACTGTCTGTTCTTTTTCCAATATTATTCCAAAAGAGCCTGACAGTGAATTCTGTGTGGCATTATTGTGTGGCTGCTGTATTTCCAGTAGTGAATTTACCGTGACCCTGTCCAACTGTATGGTATCTCTTAGTTGTTGTGGAACCTGGTAATGTAGCAGCTTCATTCATATATTCATGAGAAAATTGTTCTGGTAATCAGCAGCTTGCCTGTCTGGCCAAGGTTGGTGTAAAAAACAACAACTCTGCTTTAAATATAATAGATAGAGTTCGTTCACATCTGAAAGATATCGGATGTCCAGAGAATCCTATTTTCTGTATTGTTTCTAAAGCAGGCTTAAAGCAATACAGCCACATAGGGTTGAAGCCCATGTACATGAAGATATTCTTACTGAGTGAGTGACTACCTTCTGTAGCCTCACGGGGAAATCTTCCTGAAGCAAACAAAGAGCATGTATTACAATTTTTGTTCAACAAAAAAATTGTAAATGTAAACTGCAGACTTTAAAGAATTTAAAACTGGCAGAAGTTATATTATGTAGTTAGAAAAAGATGCATTCAATTCAAGTTTAGTTCCAATAACTTAAAATTGCTAATGTAATTTAGTTAGCACTATATGTTTCATCAGAGTGAGCGTTAACAGCCAGGCCAGGGGCTCTGTGAGGCGGTACTTAAGCAAAGTCGTGCTTTGGCACAAGAGGAAAAGTCAGGGGATCACCAAAGACATTGAGACCATTTATGTTTGAACCAAATTGCATTGTAATCCATCCACAGTTACAGAAATGTCAGTGTGGACCAGATACAGCAGACATGCAACTCACCATCAGACTAATATAGTCATGCCACTAGCATGGTTTAAAATGCAACAGTAGGTTATAATATTAATAACCTATATGTCCTGCAAAAATATCAATGATGTCACACCTTTCAGATTCACAGCACTAAAACCTGTGGCGATTAAAGGTCCTCTACTCCACGATCACAAAACAAAGGGCTGTGAGTTACAGTCTATTCAACTTTTTGCTTTCCAGTCTTGTTGTGCCTTCAATAGTCCAGTGGCAAGCCTGGAAGCAGCCCTTAATGAGCTCATTCATCCTCTCACATTGCTCCTCTGGGAAGACTCCTGCAAATGCAGTCTTGAAAAATGGAGCCGGGAACAAAGCTCTGATAAAATATATAAAGTTTGATATTGTGAACAAGTGCTGTCTGCTGCAGAAAATATCCCAGACTGGCCCTCTTATGAAGAATTTCTGTTACCGTGTTAATCAATAAAATCTATTTTTTACTACTAAGCGTTTTTTGTTTGTGTTTTGTGAAAATATGTAAAGAACATCTGAAGTATATGTTTCATTACTACTGTTGATCTTTGTCATCAGCATGTTCAAGTTCTATGAAGCAGCTCATCCCCAAATGCACATCCAGACTGTGAGACCACAAGAGGGGGCGGTGAGTGGGAAGACAGGGACAGTGTGACACCTCACCACATTACACACCACATCCAGAAAAAAAATGGGTTCCTTCAATTTTATTTTGAGATTAAATCCATTCAAAGTGATGGTCATCAATGATGCCTCTACACAACTAAAACCATTATTATTACAACTTTGACACTATTTGTATTGCTATTAGCACATTATTACTCATGTGCCCGAATGCGTTCATTCAGTCTCCTGCTTGTGTGCGATTTGTTATTGCCTACAAAGCAATTATGAGCGAATTTAATCAGATGAGAGGTATTTAGGCATGATTATCCTGTTGGCTTCTGAGTCGGATTGAATAAATAGAATAATCATAATTACAGAGACTTCCTATTGGACGGGTGCGCAGCGGCTCGCTGCATAAAAGTGAAGTGCAGCCGCTCAGTTTGCGCAGAGAAGCAGCAGAGAACAGAGCGGAGAGGACGGAGCACAGAATTGTTTTTGCGCGTTTTTACGCACAGAGATAAGTGACAGTAACATTAGTTTAATAGATAGTCAGGTGTAATCGTAACGTCCACATGTGTTACTTATACTGAATCTATTATTTCCAAGAAAAAGTCTCTAAGTGAACATTCCAACAGAGCGCGCAGCCGTCGTGCTTTTCTTAAACTTTGGTCCCTTTGCATTTGCCACCGGAGTTGTCTTGTTATGAATTAGGCTTGTATCCAGTTGGTGGGTTTTAAAGTGACTTTCGGTCTTAAACAGCAAAATGGATCCTTTTTTCAATGTCACCAATGCGCCAGATTGGACCACCGGCTCCAACGACACCAACGGGACCACGAACTGGAACCAGTTCGTGCAGCCAGTCTGGAGAATTGTGCTCTGGGCCATTGCGTACAGCAGTATAGTTATTGTGTCCGTGGTAGGCAATATCACAGTGATCTGGATTATTATGGCGCACAAACGCATGAGGACCGTCACCAATTATTTTCTTCTGAACCTGGCGTTCGCTGAAGCCTCCATGTCCGCCTTCAACACGGTGATCAACTTCACATACGCAGTGCACAATGAGTGGTATTTCGGACTGTACTACTGCCGCTTTCACAACTTCTTTCCGATCGCAGCTGTCTTCGCCAGCATTTACTCAATGACCGCAATCGCTCTGGACAGGTAAGCTGCGAGTCTGTTGCAAAAGTATACAAGAAATGTGTTTAAAATACAACATTATCAATTCACGACTGATCAAAGTTCTTCACCATATTCTCCTACATGATTGACAACAAAATGCAGGAATATTGCGCTCATACTGGTTACGAATAAAAATCAAAGTGCTATGATCACATTACAGAAAAGAAATCGCTGTCTAATTCCCTTTTGCCCATCTTATAAGCTCCATAGTAATATTTTAGAAATAAAACTACTGACATCTAGGAGGATTCTGGTCATTATCAATTCGTACAGGTGGGGAACAGGTTGTGAATTTATTTAGATGTTTAGGTAAAAGGTTATTGAGGTCAACTGCTCTTTGAACAAAACAAAGAAAGGAAACTTTTATTTCAAAGTGCACCAATATATTGCCTTACAGTTTTTTCTCTTTACCAACATGCAGCTCAACATAACAGTTTTTCTCACATCAAAATGCACAAATGCAACCAAACAACTTGATACATATATAAACTGTGAACACTGACATTTGTCACCCACCAGTAACAGTCATTAAACAATTATCAAAAACGATCAATAGGTAGCATTTTAATGTGTATCTTTTATGTCTTTTTTTATTTAGCATAAACCAAGATCCCATTACAACAAGAATAAGGGCATGGATTGTGCAACCTTACAGTAGCCTAACTTATGTGTCAGATAAATGAATCAGAAATGCTGCAAAATGATTCAACGGGCTTATTTTTTTTTGCCAGTGTTCTGTGTGCTGTCTCTTGCAACACAATCTTTTTGCATGTCTGATCCACCCCTGCAATTTTCTACTGTTATGTCCATTATATCCAGCTATCTGATCATGTGGCTGGTGGTCATAAACTCTCCACCTCCATTAGGATGGATTTCCTCTGTGGGGTTGAGGAATGGAGAGTAAGGTGGAACTAAAAGTGACTCCAACCTGCGATGGGCCGTAAACCACTCTGACTAGACGAGAACGTGAACTAAAGCATGGATTGAATGAGTGGAGGTATTTTGCCGGCGGAACAGTTATAAGCTAGTGTGACAAAACTTTACAGAATTTGAAGTTTGATTGTTGCGTTATTCAGCAATAATGTAGCGTGAGCAGGATTTATTCAGCATCTGTTAGCCAAAGTGAACTGCAGTAGATGATCATTGACTTCTCTTGCTCCGACTGTGTGGAGAGTTTTGATAAAGTGAACTCAGTACTGAGAAATGCTTTTATTTATTATTCTCCATCAAAGGACCTCTTCTTATAGTCACAAGTTGAAGGAAACTCTGTGGAGCTCAGTGCATGCAATAACCCTCCCAATGAACATTCAGGTGTGAAGGACCCCGAGGGTGAATGGAAATTAGATGCATAAAAAGCCCTGTGCTGCTTTGTTAATATGTGTGAATGCCTGGGCATGGGGGTGTGAGCCATTGCATTTTCATGTGTTTGTGCGTGTGCATGCATCTTTGTCTGTATGGTTGTGTGCGAGTACACATTGTATGTGTGTGTACTGGTACATCTGTGTCCAGGAATGCTGTTTTATTTACAATGTGTGTTTGCTTGTGTATCTCTAATCTGTATTCATTGTGTGAGTGTGTCTGTTTCTGGATATGAATGCATCAATGTGACACATACGGATGAACATCCTGCCTGCAGCTTGTCAAGTTTGCATAGGTGTCTTTTATACCTCTACATCTTCGGTGATAATGGCCTCTAATTCTTCTGTATATCTCTCTTTTAGCAAGAAAGCCATGAACTTGACTTTTTCGAAAATGAAGTTGAACTTTTAGAGGACGTGAGAACAAAAAGGCAGATTAAGATGGCAACAGGCCACACATTCAGGCAAATTTGCCCCTGACCCGTGTCCATGCTACACAAACATGTTATTAAAATCCTGAGTAGCATATAATTCACACTGACAGCATTATACTTTTTCTGGCTGTTGTAGGAACAAAAAAAAGATTCACCCACTGTGATATAATACTCGGAGCTATCTCTCACTGCTGTTTAGGATGCAGTTAGTATTTCAATTCTTAATTTGCAATCACTACTTCCTGTGAGAGCTGAAGAGCTCCCATTAGTTGCAAGACATGACACTTTTTTTGGAGCACAGTGCTCCATCAGCCCTGATGAGATGCTGCAGCTGATAAGGCTTTTATTCATCTCCATCATTGCTACACTCAGGACTGGCGATCTATGGGTCGTGTGTAGTGCAAGAACACCACACAACCCATAGATCACCAGTGCAATCAGGGTGCTGATGCCAGTGTGCTGAGTTAGAACCACGGGGGAGTTTTCCACTTTGGCTTGAGTCGCACTTAAGTCAGAGAAACTCTACTTGGGACTTGTCCTCAAAAGACTTGACTTTGACTCAAGATTTGGGACTTGTGAACAATCTTTGTTATATATTGCTGAATTTAGGTTTGTATTATGGGAACGCAATTTTGTAGGACAGGGTAGGAATATCTTGCAGTTCGATTAGTCCTGCAGCCATTGTAAACTTTTTATTAGTTTACCTTGTTGGGACCATGTGCTTCACCATGTGCTCTGTGACAAAGACACTGGGGCCTGCCTATTTTGCAGAGCAATCAGAGGCCTGATTGCAGTTGTTGATAATAGCAAGCTCCAAGGAATGTTTCACATGGCCTTAGATGCGAAAGCAATAAAACATCAACACTGCGATCTAATTGAACAAGGGCCACAGACACCCCAACCCTGTGGTGCAGCTCTGGCCTGTTCCTGAAACTATAAAACTTTGCTTCACCCCCAGCTCTCAGCCATTCCACGCGATTCAATTTGCTTGTGCTTAGGCACAGAAACATAGCTTTGCTGCTGTTAAAAGAAAAACCTAGGTAACAGTTTTAGATTCGCTGGACGAATAAAGACTGTTTGTTTTGTTTTTGTTTCGCATCCTAAAAAGAGAAGCGGACAACTTACCTGCAGAAGTGAAGAAAATGCATTCTTCAGAGAAAGAGGACAACTTCTCTTTCCAATCAAGTCGACTTTATGCCGGTTATAAGGAAAAAACATTCCCTTACTGAGCCAAAGAAATTATCTCTGACACAGAGAGCACGAAGCTCGCGATCCTGAGTTGAACCGAGGAGCTCAGAAGGACAACAGTGAATGCCACGAAGTCATCTCACCGCAAGGCTTAGAGTCTGTGCAGATTTAGGTCATAGTGTATGCTCTGAGATCGTTAATGTTGTGTAGAAATGACTGTATTTCATACTGCTGCAATCGTGTTTTGAGATCAGTCACCGCTAGTGGGTCCGGAAGTTGTTGTCTCATGGGTTCAAAGGTCAGAAACCCGGTTGGGCAAGTCCAAGATCGTCAGCCGCGTTTCTGTGATGAGATAGCAATCTTCCGTATTCCACCGCGGTGGGGAGGATCTGCTTTGTTTTGGAGGATTTCTTTTTGTTTGCTTTCTCTCTTTTTCTACTAACCCACACACATATAGTGTTAAGTATCTCCGGGTGGAGCTAAATAGCTCAGCCACGTGTAGATAACGCGATCTCTCTCGCCATTTTAGAGTCTCGTGCCATTTTGTGATCTCGCGAGGCGTGGTCACATGCGAAACTACACCTCCATTTTGATAGTTCGATCTATCTTCAATGTGTAGTCCCACGTGACGTAGCCACATTCTAGTTTGCATCTGCCATTGTCTGAGCTGTTCTCTGCGTTTCTGTGCATGTGTATTGTGATTATAGCTGGATATGTGGCCCGTGCTCAAACTAAACACCTTCACTGTTCAGTCTGGATGTGGAATAGTACCTTGACTATTGACATTGTGAGGGAATACTAATTATAACTTAGTAGTATTAATAATTCTATTAATGTCAATAATTTAGTTTTTCATATTTACTGATAACTCAAACACGCTTCTTTTCGTTCCCAACAACCTGAAGTATGAAAAGGCAGCAGCCATCGAGGATAAGACACGGGCAAGATTGGGATGTTTGTGGCCATCAAGGGGACCAATACTTTGTAAATATACATTACAAAGTGACCCCCGAAAATAAATAATAAAAAAGATATCAGATCAGACTTTGAAGATATTTCAATTTTTTTCAGCAACATTGGTGGCACCTGTTGTTTAATTTCAAAGGGGCTTTGATGGAGCTAAACGAAGTAAAGTGCTGCAGTTTTGTCACCATAAAAGGGAAAGTTGTTTCATCTCATACAACTACTGAAAAATGCCAGATTTTACACACATGTTTTCAGCATAAAAGAAAGCTAAAATAAAACACACTGACATAATCATAGATAAAGAAAGCAGCAACCCACAGAGTCTGGCAGCCTGCTCTGGAGGAGTCTGCTCAATGAGACAGCAGGGGAAAAATTGGCCCCAAACTTTAAACTTTAATTTATACCAACTATTTAAATTATAATCCTTAAGATTTTCATGAAAACAGACCTCATTTTTATCTATGGTCTGCATTTTTTCTGTGTTATTTCTATTAGTGGTGGTGGAGTCCGCAATTCCGGTCCTAAAAAATGGGGATTTACAGAAAAAACGATGTATGTACATTGTATTTCTGACAACGCTGCTGCTCAAGGAGTATTTGCTGTAGTATTAAACCGAATGGTCAAAGGTGTCACAAAATGATTATGATTATGATGCACTAATTCATATTTTCAACAAATGATCAAAAGGAAAAGTACTTTGTGAAAGGGTTCATGTGAAAAAAACAGACAATTATCAGTTCCTTTCATATTTATGAAGCATTCATAATAATTATTAATCGTAATGGATTATTATTATTATCATCAACATAATCATAGTCATCATCAATCATTGTTATTATTATTATTATTATTATTGTATGTCCCTCTGTTCCATTGGAGGCTCTACCTGATGAATTAAACAGCTAAACAGTCAAAGATAAAGCAGGCACAACCTGGCAAACTAAAAGTCGCTACTGAAATGCATTCTGGGAAACACCTTAGTAAATCTGGCTTTTTGCACCGATTGTCAGTGTCTGACTAATGATAAGTGCTCTGG